GAAATTGAATCCATTGGACATGTGCTAGTGCACTGTAAATTACACTATGACATCCGTGTTGTTTATATTGAACCTGTGTTGCACCCCCTTTTGGGCCAATCTGATGAGCATAAAATTAGTTCTTTATTGTCTTCGCATAATATAGAAATTCTGGAACCTGTAGCAATTTTTTTTTATGAGGTAACTAGGAGAGGCTCATGTTAAGGCAATTCGGAATGTGATACCCCTCCAGCCTATCTTGAGGCTCTGCTGCATGTGTATTTGATATTTTATGCCAATAAAGGTATTGTATTTTGATAAGCATATGGAGCAGAAGTCCATCAGTGGCTATTAGCCACAAGCTATAGATAGGAACTCTCACGCTGGGGCAAGTGATGCTCTGTATTCTTGGTGCTGGGGGGGGGGGCAACAGGGGGAGGGCTTCTGGTGTCCTGGCCCTACTGCTGGAACTCCTGACGGCACCTGGTATTTTTGGCCACTGTGTGACAGACTGTTGGACTAGATGAGCCATTGGCCTGATCCAACATTGGCTTCTCTTACGTTCTTAATTCCTGGCATCTCCAGTTAAAAAGATCAGGTAGCAGGAGATGGGAAAGACCTCTACCAGAGACAGTGAAGGTGGAAAAGGTGAAATGTGAATGAGCCCTAGTGTAGCCATATCTGTGAAGATCAAGAACTGCAAAGAATTGAGGGAGAGCATTTGAAACAGAACTGTTATCTGTGTTTGCAGCTGAAGTCTCCAAGAGCTGCATTCCTCGCCTCACAGGGCAAACTAACCTAAACTAACCTTTAACACAGATCCTGTCTTCTTAAACCACAGTAGTCAGCAGTTCGTGCTGCGCTTGTAGCACACCATAGCTAAGGCAACAGTATTCTTAAAAGTATGTAAAGAAGGAAGTATAGATTGCTTTTTTTATCTGTTTAGAGTTAATGCAGTGTTGAGCAGGCATGCACTGATTGGTTATACACTACCACCTTCTTGTGACGTTAAAACCCGGTATAAGTCCCAAAGATGAACGATGCGACCATGCCAGCATCTTGAACTCTCTTAGGAATAGATACGTCCTTTGATCATGGCCAATCATGAAATAAAAGAGCTTCTGCTGTAGTTGTTAGTGGTGATTTGGTCCCCTTCTTTGAACCCAGCCAAAATTTGCAGTTTCCCCATCAACAGCTGCCAGCCAGAGTAGGCAATACTGACCATAATATCGATCAATCGTCTGCTTCACTATAAGGCAGCTTCATGCGTTCTCATGGAAGCTACTGGGAAGAAATGTACAGCATCCGTGTGTCCAGAAGACCACATGGCGCTACGAGAGAGGTATACTTCCTTTGAGGGAGGAAGCCGTGGCTCAATGGTAGAGCATCTACTTGGCGTGCAGAAGGTCCCAGATGAATCCCCAGCATCTCTAGTTGATAGGGCCAAGTAGTAGGCAATGTGAAAGACCTGAAGCCCTACCGAGTTGCTGCCAGTCTGAATAGACAATAAAGACCTTGATGGACTGATGGTCCGATTCAGTTTAAGGCAGCTTCATGTGTTCTAACTGGCCTACTTAGTGATAAAAGTTTCAGGAATGTGTCAAATTCCAGGTGATACATTCAGATTCCAGGTGGTACATCCAAAAAGCCAGCTTGGTGTAGTGGTTAGGAGCACGGACTCTAATCTGGGAGAACCGGGTTTGATTCCCCACACCTCCACATGCAGCTGCTGGTGTGGCCTTGGGTCAGTCACAGTTCTCTCAGAGCTGTTCTCTCACGAGCAGTTCTCCAGAGAGCTCTCTCAGCCCCACCTACCTCACAGGGTGTCTGTTGTGGGGAGGAAAAGGGAAAGGAGATTGTAAGCCACTCTGAGACTCCTCCAGGTAGTGAAAGGTGGGCTATAAATCCAATCTCTTCTTCTTTTTCTAATAGCAAGTATTCTATGTCTGAGACATACTAAGACTGCAATACTATCCATGTTTACTTGAGAGTAGGTTCAAACATCTTAGGAATTACAAGTAAACATGACTAGCAGGCCTAGATATTGCTGGCACAAAGTTTTGGTATTCCTTACAAGTTAGAGAATCACTGAAGCAACACACTCAGGGCGTAGCATTTTCTAGATTGCAAACATGGAATCCGGGATTCCATATAGTATCTGCTGTCGGGATTCAAGCAGGGTCCTGCAGTGTTTTTAAAATCCACAAAATCTGTTCAGGTCCGGGAGGAAATTTGCAGAAAAGAAATGAGGCGGTGTCCCAAGGGCAATGGTATCTCTATCATATAAATAGCTGTCTACCTCCAACCCTAAGAATGGAAGAAGGAAAAGCAAAATGAAACTGAACACGATCCATCCCCAGGTATTTCAGAAGCCAGGGCCACCTCTAGCATGATCCGCTGTTCTCAAGGAAGAATCAGAAAAGATTGTGTGACGCTTTGCAAATTATTCAAAAAGCCGCAATACATTAGGAACATACATTTATTTATTATCACATTTTCCTCCCCATTTTGGACTCAAAACTTCTTTAGAAAATCATTGTCCTCACCTCCATTGCCCCAACAGCAAAATGGGAGCCACCACCAACTGAGGCCATGCAGCATAAGGATGCTCAACGAACAGATTAATATGCCTTCATATACCCTCACCAGCTCACAATCCAGAGTGGTCCTCACTCACTCTGAACTGGCTACTCTTCTGATCAGGCCTCGTTTTAACCCAGCCTCCCTTTGTAACATTTTTTCTTTTGGCAGTTTGCAGCTTGGCATATAAACGTGTCTGCCTAGCAATGGAACACCTCATGCATCTGATGAAGAGAGTGCTTATGTCATAATCAAGGGTGTTAGCTTTCAACGGGCCATTATACTCCTGTTCTAGTGTCCCTCTCTAATAACTACAAAATCTTAGCATTATTTACTTAGGCCACAGAAATAAACCCTGGTCAGTTAACACACTGGGGGAGCGAGAAGGGGGAACGGTAGTTGCAAATTTACTGCACTGCACAGGGGGTTGGTCTAAATGACCTTCGAGCCCCCTTCCAGCTTTATGTTGTTCTCCCGCCACCTCTCATTTCTCGGCAACCTCCCAGACTCAACAAAAGTGTGACAAGCATAATAATAATAATCATCATCATCATCATCATCATCATCAACAACTGCTATTTTTTTTTCCCCCCCGGGGGGGGGGGGGGAGAGAAGATGCACCACTCGAATATATTAGTACATTTGTAGGACGCGTTTCTCTTAAGAGTGTTTCTTTTTAAATCTAGTTTAAAACCTGGGCTTGTCTTTCCGCACCCCGATCTCCTAGTCACAGTCAGAGATGACTCTTTAGCCCAAGAGGAAGGGATCTCAAGTGGTGGATATTCTCCTGCGGCTGTAAACAGAATAAATGGATCTTCCGGGCACTGCCCAGCCAGAGACCCCACCTCCTCCCCCAGAGAGAGACCCCTCACCTGGCTACCGAAGGCCTGCTTGGCGGAGGGTGACCTGCCCTTCGGAGGCGGCCGGAGCTTCTCGGGCTTTCCAGGCTCTTGCGTGTCGGTAACTGCAGCCCCCTCCGAGCCCTTCGTCTCCCCCTCCTCCCGGCGTCCTTCATCCCTGCCTTCTTCTTCCTCCTCCTCCTCCTCCCCTTCGTCTTCCCAGGTGGAGTCGTACTCCCAGAGGCCTTCCTCCTCTTCCTCGCTGCCCGGATCTTCCTCGGACCCCTTGAACCACGCCGCCATCATCATCGCCGCCTCTAGCCCGGCCGCGCCCGGCAGCAGGAAAGGAAACCGAAACGAAAGCGGACCCAGCACCAGCCGGCCCGCCCGCCTACCTCGGGGAGGAGGAGGCGGCGGCGGCGGCGAAGGAGGTACAAAGCGAAAGACACGTGCGGGAGGCGAGGGGGAGGTGCGTGGCCGAGGCCCCACCCCCTGACCGCAGCCAGTTCCGCGCTGCCCCCTCATTGGCCCGGAGTTTTCCCTTCCGAACGTTGGCGACTGTCTCAGCGTTCCGTTTTCGAACGCTATTAAAGGGGAGTGGGCGTCGGTGATTGGCTGTGCCCCAGCGGCTGCCGCTGAGCAATTAAGGCTTTAAAGTCATATTCTGGCACGGGACCAGGTTTTTTTGTATTCCGCTTTTCTGTTGATTTGTTGTTCAACTCATTTGCACCCCGCCTTTCTCCACAATATATATTTTATTATTATTATTTTTTGTTTATATCACTCATAACCTGCCTTTCCCCCTATAGCGGCTGACGTCATTCTCCTCGCCTCCGTTTTCTCCTCACGACAACCCTGTGAGGTAGGCTAGGTTGAGAGAGTGTGACCTGCCCAAAGTCATCCAGCGAGCTTCCATGGACTCTGGTCTCCCAGATGCTAGTTCAACACTCTTAACCAGTACATCACTCTGGGGACCCAAAGCGGCTTTCATCATCCTGCTCGCCTCCATTTTTATTCTCACAACAGCCCTGTGAGGTAGGTTAGGTTGAGAGAGTGCGGCTGGCATAAAGCCATCCAGTGCAATTCCATGGCAGGAGTGGGGAATTGAACCTGGGTCCTCCAGAGACTAGTCCGACACACTTGCTTACACCACACTAGCTGCCTGATAACTTGAAAGTGATCCACAAGAAAACCACATTTAGTCATTTCAAAGTACATATAAAGACAGCACATGTGAGCAAAGGGTTAGAGTGTCAGATTAGCAACTGGAAGACGGAGGTTCAACTCCCCACCTCAGGTTGCCAACTTTGGAAATTCCTGGAGACTTGAGGGCGGAGCCAGAGGAAGGCTGTGTTTGGGGTAGGCATGTCATCCTCCAGGTGGGACCTGGGGACCCCCCAGAACTATAGCTCATCTCCAGACTGCAGAGATCAGTTCCCCTGGAGAAAATGGCTGCTTTGGAGGGTGGACTCTATTGCATTGCGCCCCACAAAGGTTGCTGTCCTCCCCATGGGCCACTCCCAAATCTCCAGGAGTCTCCCAACCAGGGTTGCCAGATCCCGGGGGGGGGGCAGGGGGTTGCCCGCTCGATGGGCCTCTTACCCGCTGGCCTGGATCTGGCCACCGGGGGGAACCCCACCCCCAACGTGCCCAGCGTGATGACGTCACCCAAAGGTGACGCTGGGCACGTTGCAGGGGGATGCTCTATCATTCGAAGGACAACTCTATGATCCTGGAGAGGGGCTGGGAGTCCCCAGGCAGCCGCAGCTGAATGTAGGACCTGGCAACCCTAGTCCCAACCAATGTTCCCTCTAAGCTGTGGAGTCATGTGAGCAAAAATTCTACTTTGTGAGCTACTGGCATTAAAGTTGTGAGCGAGCTATTTGGCTGCTGCATCAATTAGTTTGTTCTGGAGCCACATCCTTCCTGAGCAAAGACAAAAATGTGTGAGCCGGAAGCTAAAAAACTGTGAGCTAGCTCACACTAACTCAGCTTAGAGGGAACACTGGTCCCAACCTAGATCTGGTAACCCTATTCCACCCTCACCTCCTGCCGGTACCCAAGGAGGATCTGGCAACATTGATTTGGGGAGGGACCTTAGCCAGGTATAATGCCATAGAGTCCAAGAGTCCAAAGAAGCCATTTTCTCCAGAGGAACTGTATTCCAGCCTGCTGTATGGGGTTGTAGTGCTGATCAAATGGAGAAACGTGAATGTCTGTGCTTGCCATGAAATTTATTGTGTATGAGAGGAAGGGTGGGATAATAATCTATTTTGGGGCAGGAACGCACAGGAATGGAGTTCCGGCTGGCTCCCAGGTTGGCCACGCCCAGCAGGAACTCATTAGCATAATAGGCCACACCCAACAGCAGAAACGCATTAGGATTGGCTACATTTGGGGTGTGTGGCCTAACATGCAAAGGAGTTCCTGCTACAAAAAAACCCTCTGGGTTTTGACCACAAACAAGGTCAACAGAATAAGGAGCAAAAGGTGGGCGTGGCTGGATGACCACACTTCTGGTAACATGGGGGTGTGGCCAAATATGCCAATGAGCTATGCTGTCAGGGCTGTGGCCTATTATGCTAATGAGTTCAGGCTGGGCTTTTTCTACAAAAAAAGCCCTGATAATAATAATTAACTAATTACACCCAAAATGTCAATAATGTTTTTTCTAAAAGTCAGCATAATCCATCATGTTCTAGCAGCCAAAATAACGGCGCTGTAACATTTGTGGTCTCTAATGTATTTTTATCCCTCCCTTTTCCAAGGAGTTTATAGTGCAATCCTATGTGTTTACTTGGGTTGCCAGGTCCCTACCTGGCATCCAGCAGGGGGGAAAGGCTGTGTCTCCGGTACCATAGAGTTTTAAGCCCGAATGCTAGAGTGACATGCCCAGTGTGATGACATCACCTCTGGGTGACGTCATCGCGCCAGGCACGTCAGCCTGATTCAGGCACTTTGAGGGCGGAGTTCCCCCCGGCAGCCGGATCCGGGCCTGCGAGTCGGGGGCCCTTAGAGCGGGCAACCCCCCGCCCCCCCAGGGGACCTGGCGGCCCTAGTGTTTACTCAGAAGTAAACCCACTGTATTCAGTGAAACAGGGTTCCCCAGCCTTTTTGAGCCTTTGGAATTGTGACACAGAGTGGCAGGCGCAACCACAAAATGGCTGAAACAAAAGGTGGAGACGACAACAAAATGGCTGCCATGGGAGGCGGAGCCAACCACAAAATGTAAGTCATAACTTTCATAGTAACTCTTCCGCACTTAAGGCAAAAGTTCTGTTGATCAGGATTCCTTTAAAAATGAACAGACAGTTTAAAAATATTTTCTTTCAACCCATTTTCAGTCATACAGTGATGATCCTTGTGCCGTGGTGGCAGCCAGAGTTCCCTCCAAGCTGAGTTAGTGTGAGCTAGCTCACAGTTTTTTAGCCTCCGGCTCGCACATTTTTGTCTTTGCTCAGGAAGGAGGGCTCCAGATCAAACAAATTTATGCAGCAGCCAAATCGCTCACTCACAATTTTAATGCCAGGAGCACACAAAGTAGAATTTTTGCTCACAAGACTCCACAACTTAGAGGGAGCATTGGTGGCAGCTGGTACCAAAGCAATCTTTTTTAAAAATCTGCACAGCCAATCAAATCTCCAGTGGCCAATCAGAAGCCCTGCCCCCTTCCTAGAAACACTTGGTGGGCACCATGGCAACTATGAGGACCACACTGAGGACCTCTGCAGTAAAGCATACTTCCAGGAGACTTCAGTGTATACGGTTCCCCCTTTGTCTGTTTTATCTTCACAACAACCTGAGAGGTAGGCCATGAGGAGAGACAGAAGAAGAAGAGATTGGATCTCCACCCTGCCCTGAAGGAGTCTCAGAGCGATTTAGTTTCCTTTCCCTTCCCCTCCCCACAACAGACACACTGTGAAGAAGGTGGGGCTGAGAGAGCTCTTTCGAGAACTGCTCTTTCCAGAACAGCTCTGAGAGAACTGTGACTGACCCAAGGTCACGCCAGCAGCTGCATGTGGAGGAGTGGGGAATCAAACCCAGTTCTCCCAGATTAGAGTACGTGCTCCTAATAGTGGCTGGTTTAAGATGTACCCCGTGCACTTAACTTCAGAGTAGGGATTAAGGACTAACAGTTTCATTGCAGCAAGAAAGTAGCTCACAAGCCTGAGACGCCCCATATGAACGTCAAGCTAATTAGACTGTCTTGCTCAATACTGTCTGTTCCGACCGTTGACAGTTCTTCAGCACCTCGTGCAGAGAAACTTTTTCTCAACACCTGCTACACTGATTTATTTTTAGCCGCCTCTTCTCCGATAAATGAACAGAGGACAGATTATAAGTGTTAAGTCGCTCGCTTAACAAAGCAGTCGGAGAGTGATTCAGCAAGAACACAACTTTATTCTTCAACTCGAACACAACTCCAACACGGATCAACATCTGATAGCCAGAACAGCCTTTACATTGCAGCTGTCCTGCTTTTAAACATTCCTGGCTAATGTAGCCACACCCACTGTACAAATACCAACCAATAAGGTTGTTCACATAAGGACCAATCATGGATGTTCCCGCTCAGGGAGCTTGCTAGAAGGTGATTGGTTAGGTGCTTCCTGGGCTAGTAACACGATTGGATGGATTTGGATCCTAGCCCAGGACGAAGCTTTACATTACACTTCAATTAGATGTTTCACAACATATCATGCATTCAAGGCAGCTTTGAATACACTACAATAAGGATATTCAAAACTAGCTGTTCCCTAGGGTTGCCAGCCCCAGGTTCAGAAATACCTAGGGTTGCCATTTCCAGGTTGAGAAATACCTGGAGATTTGGCAGGAGGAGACTGAGGAGGGCAGAGTTTGGGGAAGGGAGAGACTCCAATGTGGTAAAATGCCATAGAGTCCACCTTCCAAAGTGGCCCTTTTATCCAGGGGAACTGATCTCTGTTGCCTGGGGATCAGTTGTACTAGCCGGAGATCTCTAATCATCACCTAGAGGCAGGGGTCATTTTGTAGAAAAAGAGGTGCAGGGACTCATTAGCATAACTCATTAGCATAACGCATTAGCATGACTTATGTGCATGTGCCACACTCCCTGACATCGCCAGAAGTGTGTCAGAAGACACCACCGGACTGTTTTGGGATTGCTAGCTATTGAGGGGGGGAACGTGCAGATCTTTCCTTGCAGAGGAGGGAGAGCTTGTACCTGAATAAAAATTGATCTTAAAGGTGCCACTGGACTGTTGAGGGCCGGCGGGAGCTCTGCAACTTACCTGGCTGCTTCTTGCTCTGACTGAGGGCTTCTGGGAGCAGGGAGTGGGGCTTGTTGCAGGGGCCCGCCCCCTGGGCTCTTTACTGCCAGAGCTGCGCTCCTGCAGGAAATGACCCCTGCCTAGAGGTTAGTCAAGGACGAGAGATCACGGGA